AGCAGTTCAGGGCGGGGGGTGGGGTTCAGGAGTAGAGACATATCAAGAGGAAATCCCACCACTTGGTCACCCACCCGAGTGTTAAGCAGAGGAGAAGAGAGTGATGCTTCTCTGTGAGTGGACGGGAAAAGAGGCAGAGATGGATGCCTGTTAGTCTAGAAAAAAGTCGCAGAACAAATATAGGCCATCTCCATGTTATCCGCTTTTATTTTTTTCCTTCTAAGTGTTTCGTTTATTAATTATTTTGTCTGTTTCGAATAGAATCTTTTATTCTAAGCCTCTTGGCAATTGGTAAGGTGCTTTCAAATCCGTCAGCCTTTCTGATCCTCACACACTTCCATAAAGGCAAATGGGACACATAGGATATGCCTGGACTTTGAGATGCAGGAACAGAATCCGAAAGAAGATCATGGATGTATCCAAGTTTACACTAATTGATAATAAGCAACGAAGCTTATAAAAACGGGACCTCAGGGGCTATCGAATCTTACTCAGACATTCTTCTGACAACGTCCCGATTCCTGCAATGGAGCGCAACTAGGAACGGTCTGTCTGGATATTTCTGACTTACGTAAGCTCCTGTTTCCTGTCCGTTCATTCCCTCCACTTTTGTTTCTCTCTTAAGTATGGAACTTCGCCGCAAATGAATGCTCATCCAACTGAACTGAGCCAGTAGTTTGACAGTTTCATTAAATAATAGCAAATTAAATACACAAATAGGGGCAAAGATTGGAGGGATTATTGAGAAAACAGCACCAGAGGCTGTTGTACGAATATTAAAAGTCCGTGCCAGGCCCCAATTTTCTGTACCGTTCCTTAATGACAAACAAACAAATGTGGCGTTCTCAAATGAATTTTTAAAGCTGCTTTATATCATTTTGTAACAAGACGGGATATAAATAAACGAATTAAAATAATGGCTCATGTACAGGGGAGTCAGTCTTACATAATACATAGGAGAATTTTCCCTATCCTTCCTACAATACGTGGATCCACATTTTTAAACGATATCTTTTTACTTACTTGCAAATACTGTCCCCGAGCCAAAATGGCATTGGGGGTCTTTTAAAAAGAAACTATAGATAGATGTACAACACTGACCCTTTCTATTTGCAATTGTTACCAAGTAAAAGTCGTGCGTGCTGCGCAAAATAAACCTCAGTGATTATAACTGGTTGAGAACCAAGCCCGGTTGAACGAGTGAAAACTCTGCATTACAGAATGATTTAACAGAATGTTATGGAAAGTTATGCTTTCAATAATGATGCTCCCCGTAACCTATTCTAATAGCGTATCCAAGTTAATAATTTATCATTAGACACACCATACACTCTCAAAGAATTAATATTGTGATGCTTGCAGCACCCCGAAGGATATGCATGAAGGCTGTTGATTCCTCAGTGGGAATGAATGGGGGCTTGGAGCAAAATTTCTTATTACGTGTCTAAGGATGGAAAAATTTTCATTAAACTAACGGCATGAGAAGCAAATATTTTTCCTCATTTGCTCATGGGAATTTCTTTCAGAAAGTGCTCAGGATATACATTGTGGGCTTATATTATTTTTCACTTTCTGTTCATCTTTTAAACAGGAGCTCTCCTCTCATTTTTACCCTTTAGGCATCACTCTTTGACAAATTGATATAATACTGTGTATCTGTTGGGCCGTGCTGTTGCAAAAACTTACAGTAAAAATGATCCGTCTTTTTTTTTTTTTTTCTTTTAAGTAGGCTTCACCTCCAGCGTGGGGCCCCAGGCGGGGCTTGAACTCACGACCCTGAGATCAAGACCTGAGCTGAGAGCAAGAGTCGGGTGCTCAACCGACTGAGCAACCAGGCACCCCTATCGGTCCTTTTATTTTTTTTAATGTATGCAATAAAGAGGACAGAATCCCTCAGCCTTGACCTCAAAGGCTTGTCCCTTCTCTTCTCCTTCCCAGGCCATTAGGCTTGGTCGCAGAGCTTTAAATGCCATCGGTATATATCTCCCTAGTTTCTCTTCCCAGTTGCCTACTAGATCTGTCTTTCATTCGGGTGTCCCACAGGCCAGTCCCCCTTACCCTAGCGAAGCCACCCTCCTAGCCGTGACCTCCAGCCTCTTCTGGCTGCTGCTTCTGTAGACCAGTCAGCCTCCGTGGCAGCCCCGTGCTTCCAGGCACCTTTCTTGTCCGCCCTCTCCCTCCCTCTTTCTCCCTCCAGCCGGCAAAGGCAAATTAGCTAACGCTATCATCTCTATCTTAACTGTCGCCAAGATCCCAAGATTTCTCATCGGCTCAGCATCCTGGTTCAGCCCTCCGTCCCTCTCTTCTGGAGAGGTCGACGGCCCCTCTCTGCGCTCCCTGCTTCACCCCTTGCTCCCCCGCAACCTACTCTCAATGCGGCAGCCAGTGACGACAGTTCACGTTAGTCCTCTGCTCGAAACCCCCAGTGACTCCCCCACCGCCTAGATTGAGAGCAGATGTCCTTCTCGTGACCCGTAAGACTCCTCAGCATCTGGCCTTGGCCACCTGATCCACTTCCTACCGCTCGCCTCCTTCCTCATTCTTTCCAGCCTCGCCGGGCCTCCTCTCTGCTCGTGACTCACGATCCTGAGATTGTTCTCTTCCTTCTGCTTGGAGTGATTTTCTCCAAGTCCTTCATCAACTTCAGTTCTCTGTTAAGATGTCAGTTTCTCTGTGACCTGGCATCCTACTTAAATTGCACTTCCCTGCCCCGCCCCACCCCCCTCTCCATCGCCCTCCTCTGCTTCGTTTTTCTCCGTGCGACCCGTGCTATGTTTTCTTTATTTGTTGAATGCCGGTCTTTCCAGATTTGTTGTCAGTTTCAAGGAGACCGGGATTCCTGTCTGTTTGGTTTGCAGCTGAGTTCCAGCATCCAGCTCCCGGCACTCAAGAGAGGCATTCGCCAAATATTTATGTGATGAATTAAAGGAACGGGGTGGGGAGAGGCCGGGGGGAGAAGTGCAGGGGTGCCAATGGAGAGTGTGTGAGGATGACTGCCAGGGGACAAAATGGCAAAGACGAGCAAGCAAGTCGAGGGCGTCGGCAGTGGGGATAAAAAGGTTTCTGAGCAGGCGCCTTGATTAGAGCTCTGCCACAACCCCACAGAGAAGAAACTTGATGCCGGAGGTGAAGGGAACAGAGGGTATACAAGTTAGCAAGTTGCTGCGTCGTGGGTTCATCGAGGACGTCTCTTTCTTTCGGACTAAAAACTTTTAAGTGCTGTAAGGAACTTGAGGCCCACACAGCTGAACAATCCACAGGCAAATATGGCTCCAGGCAGAGCTGTACCTAGGACTCAAATGCTGTCAACAGACCCTTTTCTTTCTTTCCATTTCTTGGTGTTGTTTCTTGGACCGTCAGCACAGTCTTGAGGCCCTCTGGGGCTTCTGGCCCCACATTGCCTCCTCAGATGCCTCAGGGAAACCCTCCCGGCTTTTTGTGAGCTCCAATGGGGCCGCACACCCATCCCACAGGCAGCTGTGGTAGTCTGGGAAGGGAATGATGGCGGCCTTAGACCAGCTTACGCGTCACCCCTGAGCTAAGGGTTGGGGGACTTGGGGCATAACTGCTATAACAAGAGGGAAATGGAAGCTGGTAATGGCCAACAGATGCCCGCTGCAAAGGGGTCATGAGGGCTCAAACTTGGATCACTGCAACGGAATGGAAGAGAGGGGAAGGTAGGAACAGGCCTCACAGAGATGAAATCGAATAGATCTCATGGTTCTGCACAGGGAGAGGAAAGGACACAGAGAAGCTTGAACGCAACCCAGATTTTGAGTTTGTGTGAGTAGGGTTTGGCACTGTGATTAATGAAGATTCGGGATGAAGTGGGAGGGACAGATTTATGAGAGAAGGAAAGCGTTTTGTTGCTTTGTCATCCCTGTTTTTATTAATAAAATTGTTTCCAGCTTCTCAGAGCTCAAGAAGAGTTGAGTTCTGCAAGAGGCAGGAGGCACACTCCTCCACCAGCCCCCTTATTCCGTGAACACTTGTCCCTGCAGTTTTGAAGAGCCTGGTCGCTGAGGCCTCGTATGCGAGAACCAGACGGAAATTTTGTTTTCTCTCAATAACTTGAGTTTCCGTTAGTTGAGCTACCAGCGTCTATAGAGTAGAAAACCCAGTGGAGTGGAGTTCAGACTTTCCTCACACAACATTTTCACACAAGCGGTTTAACACGGTAAGGCCGTCTTCTAACACGCTGTGGACTAGCCTAGGGAAACACGTGGCGCTCACCCACAGAATCCTAGTGAATGCCTTGTCAGCTTCCAAAGCGAGAGCCTTTTCATTGTCCATGGACCAGGATGTGAGGAGGGGGGGAAGTGCAGGCTTCGAGTGACAAAATGACATGTGCAGATATAGTCGTCGGCATGTTTTCGCATGTTTGGTCTCTGCCAGGTACGGTTCTAAGTTCTCAACACGTAGTAAGTCATTTGATCGCCCCAGCAACCGTTTGTGGCGAGGACCTCATTCTCTCCATTTTGCAGATGAGGACACGGAGACCTAGAAAGGTCTCGTACCTTGCCGAAGGTCCCACAGGTAATAAACGGAACTAGGACTCAAACACGGTCTGGCTCAAGGGCCGCCCTCTTAATAAACCTATGTTCCAGAACTGCCCAAAACAATTATAATCTATGTCCGTTGTCTTGGCATAATTTGGACGATAAATTATGAACACCATCCCTCTTGACCATGATGTCTTGTTTATTCAAAGCCAAGAAAATCTAGTCTAAGCACAGAGGTATCCAAGTGAGTAGGCTCTATCTCCAGTCATAGGACGTGTGACAATGTGGATTGAGTATGACTTTTTGGCAATCATCCACTTGGTCCTAAGAATTAAACTGGCTTTATGGCTTGGTTTAGGTTTGGTTTTAACTGGTGAACCACTCTGCTCTGTTACGACCTTTTAGGCTCTGTTTTATGTTACCGTAAACTCGCCAGTGACACTAGTTCTCCCCCTTCTGGAATGGTTTGACTGACACCTCAACGTCTGGCCCCTCCAGGTTCCGCCAGATCTCCAGAACGAAGTCCTGATCAGCCTGTTGGAGACCGACCCCGATGTGGTGGACTATTTACTCAGAAGGAAGGCCTCCCAGTCATCGTGAGTATGCCACTCACCCCCTCTTCCAAAGCTGCCGTGGGGAGTCCTCTGTCCTTTTCTAGAGAATTCAAGAGGTTTATGTAACTCCATGCAGGGTGACTTGAAGTGGAATTTTGGCAACTTCCTGGGGAATCTTGTCAGTCCACCTATCCAGAAAAGTGCTTCAGTATGACTAATCCACTTATTAAATTAGAACATGCCTTATGGGAGCTTTCTGTTTCATTTTTGGCTTTTTCTAGCCCCTCAAGGTCTTTTTGACTGTGTTTACTGGGAAAAAAGAACTAAATCACTGGCAAGAAGCTCAAAGGACTGTGATGCACCTCAGTGTTTCTCCTTCTAGAATCCTGATAGCTGTACTTACGTGCCCCTCAGGCTACGCCCGGACGCATCTTACTTGTGTCATTTATCAGCGCAGGTGACACGTTACCAAACCACAAGACAAGCCTCTACCAAGGCCTGGGTTCCCGTTTGAAATTAGAGGTGTGCGCCCTCCTGACTCTTCCCCTCTTCGCAGTTGACGTCCTTTTGGTAAAAACGCACACTGCTCTCCACATGCTGCCATGTTTGCAATGAGTAAAATGAATGCCATGCCGTAGGCTGTGATTTGCTGCCATTTTGCCTCCAAAGGAAGAGCATTGGCTTTTTTACATTAGTCAGATTTTAGGATTAATCCCAACTATTTGGTAGAAAGGCAGCACGTATGGGGGTGCTGAGCATTTGGCAAAGCCAGTTAAGAAGGTAGTTTTGCATCGTTATCCAGGAACGATGTTGCTGCCATGACACCAAACCTTAAATCTGTGGCATGAAAAGTTGTCATCCTCTCATGAAAATGCCATTCATGTTATGCTTTTAATATACCGAATTGCAACAACTCTAAGACACATTTCTTCCCACGTTTTATCATCTCTGAAACTGAGAGTCATCTGACAGTCAATGGCGTGTCCTGATGTAATCCATAGCATTTTTCCTTTCTCGGCTCTGTATAAAATAATGGTATGTCCTATTCAATGGTGTCTTACAAATACCAACACGTGTTGAGTTGTCCCTTTATGTTGATGTTGAATTCGATAGATGAATTTTCATTTGAAACTATTTCACATGCACTTTTCAAAAAATCATCCTTGTGCCACTGATGATCAGGCCAAATTCTGGTTCGAGTAAGACACTTTGCCTGGAGTCAAGCCCCAAGAGCGACGAGTGACTAAAAATATATTCAAATTGTCTTAATGGGCTGGTATTTCATGGTCTTGCTCTTCTTAAATTTGTCCTAGATTTCTAACCATCATCAAGGCGTAAGTTCTAATTTAAACTAACGCAAATGGCTTTTCTTCACAGCAGATCTCGTATCACCAGAATTTTAATGAACTCACTCCTTTCCCTCCCCACGCCAGAAAACAGACATGGTGGCATTTCTGTTCGTGAGTCCCTCGTTAAGCTGCATTTATGACGTTTCATGGGTACTCTGTGGGAAAGCTGGACAACACACACCTAAAAAAACCACTGATGTTGACTTGCCAAATTTCCGCTTTTAGATGGTGTGTTTAAATGTATAAATATTGTGCTTTGAAGAATGGTAGATGAAAGTTATTTTTATGTGGTTTTCAGGTATGTTCTTTGCATATAAAGGCCAAGAAGTGAACTTTTCTTTCTCTACTCTTAGGGAAAGGAAGCAGCGTATGTGTTAGGCCCATCCCAAGCTGCATAGTTATCTAGCCTCTCCCGTTCCCTATCCCTATAAGAATAAGAATTGTAAGGTCAAGGCAAGCCGACCCTAGGCCATGACCATAGGTGTGTGTCAGGGGTTCAAGGGAAGGGAGGTGAGCTCACTGGTGCTCCGTGGATGTCAGAGACTAGTATCGTTGAACAGAAAACATTTGGAGATGACTTTCTTAGTAAGGGAGAGAGGGAGTGTTTGTTTTCCTCTAGGTACAGGCCAAGGAGAAGCCCAGAAGGGTTGATAATGATGTCGTGAAGTAAAAATACGTAAATAAATACTTATTTCATCCTGGTTGTCTTTTGAGGTTTGAGAGTCCCACCCTTGAGCTGTAGAGAATGTCTTCATACCTTAAACACGGTTCTCAAGCCTCACTGTGTATACAGATCAGCAGGAGATCTTGTTACAAAGCCCTCCTGGTGATCTGAATCAGTAGATCTCAGGGAGGGAGTCTGAGAATCTGCATTTCTAGCAAGCTCCCAGATGTGATGCTGCTGGTCTGTGATCCACACTTTCAATACCAAAAGCTTAAAACATCAGGCATATTCCTAACTTTAGGTGCCTACAGACTCGTTGAAGGAGGCCTTCAAGGATAAAAATAATGCGAATCATGTTAGGAAGTGTGTCACAGAGTGTGGAATGATATGTGCTGGCTCATTGGTTCTCAGACTTGCCTACCCATTTGAATGCCCTGGGGAGCCTGAGAATGACCATACCTGAGTGCCACCCCTAGAGATTGGATTCGTTTGTTCTAGGGTACAGTCTGGACATTAGGAATTTTTTAAATCTCCCCTGTGGTTCTACTGTTCTGCCACGTTAGATACTACGTATTTGCCATCACACGGTACTATATTTGAGGCAGGTGATTTTCTGACATTAAAAGGGGGCCTTTGCATTGACGAAGGAAGGGAACCAGCACTCCAGACCATAAATCCACCTGGAGTTTGGAGAAGAGAAAGAGATGTGACCTATCGTCTCAGCGATGGCTTCTGAGAAGAGCAAGGATTTGCAGTGAACTTTGAAGACCGGAGAGGTGTCAAGAGACCTGGACATTTGGGAAGCTTGAACCAGGGCCTGGACATAACAATAAATCCGTCAACTGGCTGTGGGCGTGATTAAGGAAACTGTTGGCCGGCACAGAGCACAGAAGCCCTTAAACGGCATGCTTGGGGTGGCACTTAAATTAAGAAGTGATGGCAACAAATTAGTGACAGGAGATTGCTCTTAGCTATGTGGTCTTGGGTAAATAGATTCGTCTCTCTCTGTCTCGGTCCCCTCATCTGTAAAGCAGAGGTAAAACAGAGTTGTTGTGCTATTAGAAGAGTATCTGATTTCTAACGAATGCTTAATAAATGTCAATGATTGCTACCATGTTACTTCGAATCTCACCATTTTGTTCATTTGCAACCACTTACCAAAGACTTGGGTGTCACTGCTTTCTACCCTTCTATCCACGAGACAGCAACCACTGAAGGCAGTATGACGCAAAAGGAAGCCATCCGCTTTAAATTGCAGCGGTGTCTAAAGGCAAAGCCCACCGGTACCGGCCTGATCCAGTCGGCATCGGGATGGCGGTGTTGGTTCTGGAACAGAGAGAGGGGTGAGGGTGAAAAGACACACGAGTGGGAAGGTGACCCGAAGCCTCTGTTCTGTGCCATCGGCCCACATACCTAGATAAAGCTGTGGACTCCTGTGCCCCGCGTGGAGACTGCACAAGATGGGATGGGGAGTGGAAAAACGAAATTTCTGTTTTGAAGGAGCAAACATTTAGTGACATTTGGGAATTGAATGTTTCGTTCTGGTTTGAGCTTTTCTCTTCTTCTGCGATGACAGCATTGGGGCGGCGGAAGGAGGACTCGTGATTTTTTCTCGTGCTTGTCTACTTAGATTTTTGGCTTCCACCAAAACGGAGTACCAAAGGGAGATTAGAAGAGATTTATATTACTAACAATGCAAGACTTCCAGTATTTTCATTGCTTGTCTGGAATATTTATTAGAATTATATGCTCTTTTCTTCAAAGACACTCAAAATAGATCCCCTTCCTTTGATTTAGGGATGTAAGGAGGTAGGGGATGAGAATGGAAGGTAAATCAAAGAGGACGAGGCATGTGGGACTCCGGCATTTGCAACAGAAGAAAAGAACCGAAGCAGGGCCCAGAGCAGGGCGAGGAGAGTGAGGCACTCACGTAGGTGCCCAAGTGGAGGGTGTGCTACGGAGTCAGGCGTTGGGGCGCCGGGGTGGCGCAGTCGGTTGAGCGTCCGACTCTTGCTTTCAGCTCCGGTCATGATCTCACGGTTCGCGAGTTCGAGCCCCACGCCGGGCTCCGCGCTCTCAGTGCAAAGCCTGCTTCCGATCCATTCTCCCTGCCTCTCTGCCCCTCCCTCTCTCACGCTCTCTCTCTCTCAAAAATAAATAGTAAAACATTTACAATAAATAAATAAATAAAAATTCAGGCATCAAAATGAACGATGTGGACCTGTCATATTTTTTAAAATCAAAGTTAACACCAAAATCTACGATGAGCAAAATATTAAACAGAATTTTTTAAAGGCCACTGCCACGCCGAGCCACCGTGGACCCCAAAGCCAAAGGGAAGCAAACCCATCAGTGATGCTTTGAAAATACTTCTTTGCTTATCTTATTTTTCAACCAAGAGAACTGCTGTTTGACAGTTTCTCCTGAGCAAGTAACAATCCTAAATAAGTTTTAATTAAGTTAAGCTGAACTAAATAATATGATTCTGTTTGGGCGCAAATAAAGCATTTCACCCTAATATAATGATGTAAGTCCTAATGTGCCAACTTTTCAATTTTTCAATAGCTTTCAGCTGCTTTAATGTTCTGGGAAAAAAAGCTAACCATTAAAAAAATCACAAACAACCATGCATACCTATGTGGTATGCAAGGCTAAATATAGCATTTTCCTACTATATTCTGGAAGCAAAATGGAAAGAAAACAAATTTCACTGCGTTTGGGAGTGAAAGGTAATTGTTTTCTTGAACCAGATTCTCCTCCTGTTGAATAAAAATAAAAAAAAAAATCTACCTTCTTCATGATGGAGGAGCGTTAGTTAGGCTTTCTCATAATTCAAGGCGTCACATTGAAATTATCAAATAAATATCATGTAGATAAATTTCGTTTAACCTTTCAAAGACCGTCCTTGAGAATGCCTTCCTCCACAAAACCATGGAGCGCTACAGGATGGACTATGATTCCAGTTTTCCTTTTCCTAGGATTTGTAAGGTCAAAAAGTTCTCAGGAAATTCTGAGAGACGAGAAATCAG